GATTTGGATTTTTTTTAAAATGTATTAATATTTAAAGTGTCAAGATTTTTTAATGACATAATAATTTCCTTTTTTATTTTTTTATTTTTTTATTTTGATTGCACAATACGAGACAACTATCTCTTATCTCTTATCTCACTTCACCCGTATGTCATACGATTCGAATTCAGGATCTCTTACTTCCAATGGAAAGAGATAATCACTGAGTTATTTAGGTCGTTGGTAATTTTTTTATTTAAAATAAAAGATTTTGAATTTAAACTATGAGCATATGGGTAAGATAAAAGATAAAAAATTATTGTTTTTTATTATGCAATCAAGATAAAAAAAAATGTTAAATTTTAAACCTTTTAATTAGAGTTTAGAATTTAAAGTGCATGTTATAATTTAAAATTTAAATTTAAGTGTTAGGGTTTAGACTTTTAAGATTAAGATTTATATTATTACATTTAAAGATTTAATGGTTAAATTTAAAATTTAATAATTTAAAAGTTAAAATCACAATGCTTAAAAATAAAAATTTTAAATCATTATATCTAAAAATCAAAATAGCTAAAGGGGACCAATCGGTCCCCGCATTCTCTCCCTAATTAATGGTTGGTTTGAAGTTCGGAAACAGATCGTGGAGGTCAATTCACAATGAATAAATGAGTAATGCATTGGTTTGATGTCACGCAGCAGAATTGAAGGGTTTAAGGTGAACTAAAGCCTTTGATATCACTTTTTTTTTTTTTTCTCCTTTTTTTACAAAGGGAATTGGGGAAAGGGAAGGAGGAATTGGATAATAAGAATTTAAATATTGATAGTGTAGGTGAAAATTCTACCCAATAACTACAAAAATCACGCACCATAATTTAATCGTATCATGTTTTTTTTTCTTTTATACATATCTCCAGAAAGAAATGGTAATGATTATTGCAATAAGATTAGTTAATGTAGCCTTTAGGGAGAGCAAGAATCCCCTTGTGTTTAATTATTCGTTTAAGAATCAAAATTATTTTTTTGTTTTTTTAAACATTGCCCTAAAATACTGCCCAACTAATTTTCTTTGCTCAATAATTATCGAGAAAGATGGGAGCAAATGGTCTTCCAAACCAAACGGATGGATTACGGAGACAGTAATCTTCCAGGACGGGACAATAGATTCCATCTCTTTCACGGAAGCGTTCAGAGGTACTTTTCAATTAGTAATTTTCTTTGCTCAATAATTAATGAGATTTTTCACCAAAAAAAATAATTAATGAGATTAATTTATGTGCATTTTAATTGATTTGATTAAAACTTTATTTTAAGTAACAAATTTTGAATTTAAATTTATATAACATATAAATAAAGTAAAACCAAAAGACAATAAATAATTATCTTTTATATAATTCAAAATTAATCTGCCTGTGTTTTGATTGAATTTTTTTTTTATTTATAGATTTTGGTTGATTGGACTGCAAAGTACTTCACTTCTATTAGCGGGAATCGTGATAATTTTTCCGGATTTGTTGCGCTGAACGACCTTACTTGAACAGGATCTGTTCTATAGGCTCGTACCTCTGTATCCTTGAGTTCTAAGGATTTGTTGCGCTGAGATCTCTTTCCTTCCAATCAAATTGCACCACCTACGGACCATAAGGGCGTGGCATGGGAGAACGTTTTTCTTTGCCGATTGAATTAGGCTTCATCAAAATCACACAACCTACGGACCATGAGGGTTTTTATTTAGAGCACTTAATCGCAGTCTCCCCCAAAGTCAGTTACACAATTATTTGGGCTGTTTTATGAGCTCTAACTTTCTTTGTAAACATTTGAATTGCTCTGAGGGAATGTTCTAAAAAAACACTACACTGTTTAAGTTAATAATCATAAAAGAAGTAGTTTTTACAAAATTAAATATTACAAAAAAAAATAATGATATTAAAAAATAAATGTTCGTAACTTCATTTATAATATTAATATTATATATTATTTTTTATTGACTCATGTGTTAATAATCACGTTGATAAGTTTTTTTACTATTTATATCTATTATTTAAGTACTTATTACGTTTTAAAACTCAACAATTAATCCAATAGTTGGCTGTTGGCCTCAGATCAATATTTGGATCACCTTCTCAACAACAAGTAGCCATCAATTCGTTAAATTTTCTGTAGTATGTTATTCTTTCCTGACATGATTGACATAACGATCTCATCTCGTGCGCCGCATAAACAAGGCGATGGTTGATTTCCCGTTCCTCCCACGTGACCCGTGGCCGTGGGGAGGGAATGATTGGAAAGCTTGGGACGATGGTGTCTTTTTCGGCATTCTTCAACTCAGTGTGTCCGTAAAAGATGGTGCCATCAAATTCAAAGGGGTACAGATATTGTACGAGAGGAAAAGTGACACGGATATTCTCACTAGAATGTCCTTTTTGTCGGAATATCATGGAAATTGTGTCGGCGAAACACAGAGTAAGTGGTACAGTTTTTGACATTGCATTGCATCTTTCAAGTCGAATGAATCTAATTGATGATACTAGTGTTGAATTGGCACGTCGAGATAATCCTACTGAGTTTCCTGTTGGCATTGATGGATTTTTTGGGCCGGACCGAAGGAAGTAATGGATTTGAAATTTGAATGCGTTCAACACACATCCCCTCACGGGAACGGCCCAATAATACTTTTACCGTCCCAGAATGGGCTGGGAAGGTCCATTTACTTTCCCGCTGCGTGCAGCATCCAACAACCATTGCCGTTCCACCATGCCAACCGCCACTCTCCCCCTTATCTCCAGCTCCTCCTCTGCTCTAACTAATCTACCACGAATCCCGCCAAACCCCCCAATTTCAAATCAATGTCTCTCCATTAAGCACCGCCGTAGTAATCAATTTGAAGAAGAACGCTGCCTTCAGGATTCAGTCCAAATCTCCCGGAGAGACGCCGCTTTCCTCTCCGTTTTCTTTTTCTTACCGTCCGTAACGCAGCCTCAACCAGCGTCCGCCTTCTCCATCGGAATATGTTCGCAACTCGTCTCTCACTTTGCAGTGATTGATTTCTTTCTAATAATCGCTATCTTGTAAGGGAGCCCTAATTTGTTCATAAATTCGCAGCAGGACCGAAGAACTGGCTTAAGGAGCAGAAGAAGAAGTCCGCAAAGTTCCTCTTGGCGCCAATCGATGCTTCCAGAGAAATCCTTCGTTCTGTCTATCTCTTGCTCAGTACGCCTCTCGATTTCTCTCTCTCTCTGTGCGTCTTGAATTCCTGTTGGCTCTCACAATTCGTCGTTTATGAACAGTGGCTACGGATTCTGATGATAGAGAAAAGGACTTGGAGGAAGTTCAGAAGCGGTTGAGATCTGCGGCTAGGGATTGTGTTCCGCAGGAGTGGAATTCCTTCGTTGCATTTCAAGCCAATACTGGAGTGGAGGTTTTTTTTTTTAATGTTTATTAGTAATATTTTTCATGTTTTCTGTTTGATTAAGAGCGTAATGTTCCGTTTTTAGGTTTTGCATTTAAGCTTTGAATTCAGTTCATCGACTAAATTTTAATCTAATGCAAGCTCAGGGAGGAAATGAATGTATAACATTTTACCAAATTTTAGTTCGTACTTTTGTACTATCTAATATTTAGAATGAACAGGTTTGCACATTCCGCTTGATTGTAAAGAATGCATCATCGTTACTGGAAGACAAGAATCCTGTTAAGTTGGAAGCTGAAGCTATGCTGAATGATCTTATAAGGTAACCAGTAACCACTATGTTGCATGGATATGCTGCAGCAGACTGTATCTGTGACACGTCATTCTTGTTTTGTGATTGTTTGAAACTTTAAATTTCTCTGTGTTTCCTTTCCCTCCCCTTAGTTACAGACCTGTTAATTTGTGTTTTCCTATTAATTGAGGTCATCTAGTAGAATATTTTTTCATGCATATTTTCTAAGTGCTTCTCTTTGTTTTATGTTCTCCCATTCGCACAGGTCCTTCACTGTTCTTAATGGTTTGGCTAATGAAACTAATTATCAAGCTGCTTCCAGTAGGTATGTCTTTTGTCTCAATCTCAATTAACTAGGAAGATTACTTTATTCCAAACTATTTCTATCTATAAAGCCATTTGGTCCTCTTATGTAAGGTTCTTAGTTGCTTGTTTCCAACTCTTGCCAATGTTCGTTTACTTAATCTAGAAAATCCTATAAAATCAATAAAAAGGAAATAGTAAAGGCTAGTATTCTTTTAAAATTGTTAGTCTTATTGGCAATGTGCCATTCCATAACAGTGTCAAACCTCTGGACTCTCATTCTCATTGCAGATGTAGTATCAGTACTATCAGATGCCATAAATCTACATGGATTATGGTGTTGGAAGTTCATTTATTTTATCTTCTATGTTGTTTGCGAACCCATGTGACACAGCAAACTTAGTTAGTTTGGGCTGATTTGTTGCTAAATTTAATCTGAAAATTGTTTGTAACAGTGTTCTTTTTTGTTGCTTTTATTTGCTACACTTGCTAGCTTTTTTGTTTTATTATCTCATTGGAAAGTTGCTCCCAATCACTATTTTTTTATTTTTTTATTTGATGGTCTTCTAAGCAGAGAAAAGGTTGCAGACGCACTAATGGACACTATAACTTCCCTTAACAAATTTGAGCAGGGTGTTGAAGACTGCCTCAAAGCTTGATACCTAGGGGTTCTTCATGCAGTTAAAGTCTTATGTTGTATGTTGTGTTTTTAGATTTTGTTGCTTTTATCTTTTGGAGTTGGGTTAAAATGGGGAAGTATGTCTCTTTTACTTGATCTCAGCTACTTTCTAAAGACTAAATACTATGTAATGGAGGGCACACAAGTGATACTACTTTGTGCCCGTTTATAACATTCTGACTTTCTGAGTTGCTAACTTGCTAGGTGCTACGAAGAATAATGGCCTAAAAGTACTGAATCTGGCTTACTATATTTTTCATTTTTGTATAAGATGGTAGGAAGATTCCCAGTAGGTAGTCATCGATGAAACTCTCAGCTCCTCAGGAGGATCAGCAGTCCCTTGTCTAAGACCTTTGTTTTAGCTGGGACTTTGAGCATGGAACTTATTTGTGCCCTTTGTGCCCTTTGCAACATTCTGGATTGCCACAAAGAAAAATGGCTTAAAATTCATAAACTCTGAGTTCCCATTGCTTGTTAGCCTTTTGATAATTGCAGATTATTAGAATAATGGTCGATACACCTGATTGACTCCTCTGTGTTCAACAGGTTAGATCCTCAGAAGAGCAGGTTATCTAGGAGAAGTATTGGAAACATTCTCAGTAGGCAGTTGTCAATGAGAACTTTGTCTAAGATTTTTGTCTGGCCTTGACTTTGGCATGAACTTAACAAAATTCTCTATCTGCTGATTTAGACTTGCAAAATTGCCTGTTTTCAGTTTTGGTAAGGCAGGATAGTTATCTAATGCTTTCATGTTAATATTTATTTCTATGTCTAAATCAGGTTAATGTTTGAGATTAATTAAGAGGTAAGGAATACACACTTAATGAAAACATTTATCCCTTCATGCTGTAGGCTGTACAGAATCGGATTGTGAAAAGAAAAGGTATGAGTTTCTCTTTGGTACAGGACATTTACCTCAAGTTTGTCTGCAAAGAGAGTATTATATACCCATAAGGCTATGCGCCTATGACTTGCCCAAAGAATCACCATACAATTCAAAAGTTTGTAGCCATCTTTGTTGTTCAAATGAATCTTGTGCCCATTTAGCGGGGCCACAGATAAAGACACCCGCTTCTGAGCTATGACTGCTAGTTTGCGCATTCTGTCACTATGCTACACTGAGATGACACTGAATGGAATTTGCTGATTTGGTGAACCAGAAGCCTGCACCAAATACAAGCGATGACATGGTGTTCCATCATCTGGGTGGGTATGTACTGACCTGGGCAAGTTGCGGAGTTTGTTGAACAGATTTTGTGGGTCATGTAGTAGCCCAAAGTGAGCATCTGGATCACCAATCTGTGAAAGATTAACATGAGAAAATCCTAGTGATGGCAGAAGATGATCAGGCCAATCACTGTAAAAGTGGAAGATGGAATTGCACAGCATGGTTGATGGTTTGTTCATAAAATCTGCTAAGAGAATTGTTTGTGTGAGGGCACACTTGTCAGCTATGATCTTCAGTACTTGCAAAGCATGGGAGTGTGTTAGATAGTAGAGGATGCCTTCTAGAATCCAAACTGTGCTCTTTTCTGGCACAAATCCTGATATCTGAAGCTTTTCAAGCCAGTCATTTTCTCTTATATCAGCTGCAACTCTGGTTAAGGATTTTGCAGTCATTCCAAGATTTTCTGTAGATCTGGCGGCTGCCTGAATAAGACTAGCTTTCACTTGCAAGACACTGGGAAAATCTACTTCAAAGACATCAGTTTCCTTCAAACATCCTAATCGGTATGACCTTGTGTCCATTCCTGCAAATGAAAATCATACACGTTTGTTGATTGCGCACTAAGATTTGTTTCTCATTTGCGGGTTTATTGATTATGCACCAGCATTTGTTACGTTATAATAATTAGTGCAACTTTAGAGGAGATTATGCATCAATTGTCTCTTTTGGGATGGTTTTCCACTTCGAAGATAAACCTATCTTGAATTCTAGCAACTCTGAGTTGCAATTAGCTAGAATAAATGTTTCTAACAAGCTACCAATTAAATTAAATGGACCAGGAGGCAAAGTTGCAGTGAATGACTTATGTCTTTATGTGATGTGCATGCATTGGTTAATTATTGGGAGTATTTTCTATCATGGTTAGCACAGCCTGTTTCATTAATATCAGGGCATGACAAAGGCATAATATCTGGGGACCAGTTGCCAGAAACTGAATACCGCTTCATCCATCATGGTTAACTTCTGTTTTTCTCTTGGCTGCTAATATTCTACATTATATTGGATTATTATTCATTAAATCTGCTTTAACATGAAAATTTTAGAACCTATTCATGATAAGCTTTAGCGGAACAGGTTTCAGTTCTACTGGAGAAGTGAGAAGACAAGTTGACAACTAACCTGCACCAAGGAGAACAACTTGAGATCCTCCTC